CCCGCCGCCGCCGCGGCCGAGGCTCCTGGCGCGGGCGCGGGCATGGAGCGCTCGCAGAGCCGCCTCAGCCTGTCCGCCTCCTTCGAGGCGCTCGCCATCTACTTCCCGTGCATGAACTCCTTCGACGATGAGGACGCAGGTGAGCGCGCTTCGGGCTGCCCACCCTAGGAGGCTGTCCCGGGATACGCATGCCAGGGACCCTCGGGGACCCGGGGCGCCGGGGAGAAGCGGCCACTGTCTCCACTGCACTCCCGGTCCCGCCGGGATAAACATCCAGGGCCCCCTTCCACTCCCTGGGGACCCCAGGGGCTAGGATAAGCTCTGGTCCTGCCCCTCTGCCCCAGGGACCCCTTGATCATCTGCACTCACCCTTCTCGCGCAGGTGGGCCCTTGGGTGGCCTGGACTCAACTCTCCCTATTTTTGTGTACCTGCCCTACAGGACTCCCCCGCGACCCCTGTCTTGTTTGTGGACACGACTTGCCCCCACCTAAGTCTGGTATATGGCCCCTAGTCAGATCTTAGGGTTTAGGCCGCCTCACCCCTTGGCTTCCGACGTGCCTGCCTCCCAGAGGTTGGAGGTTGTGCGCAGTCCTTACCTCTCCGAGGTCTTTGTCTTAGCGGCATCCGGAGGCTCCCTGCCCAAGACCCCTGTTCAGAGGCCAAAGCCCTGAGTGCCCCTATTTTTCCTCGTTCCCTTCCCCCACAGGCTGAGGCTCCCGACTCTAATCAGATTGGGGCGGGCCGCGCAGAACTGGCCGGTGTCTGCTGGCCTTTCCTCTTTCCTCCCCTGGGAGGTGTAAGACAGTGTAAGCGCTAACTACACCAGCGCACCCTCCAGTGTGTGCCCCTGACTCAGGTGCTCTTGTCCCTGGGGTGGCCTTTCTGGATGGGCTGAACCCAGCTGCCAAACCGTAGCTCAGACCTTCTGCTTCTAGGCCTGCAAAAAAACCAAAAACCAAAACCAAAACCAAATCAAACCCAAAATCCCAAATGATAGCCAGAGCCCAGGGGTGGGGAGGAAACCCTGGATCCTGGGACCAGGCAGAGGGTACAGAGAGCTGTGAGTTTGGTTTTGGGGTAAAGAAGGGAATCCAACAACAGGTGCGGTACCTAGAAGATTTGGAGGAGAGGTCCTCCAAAGAGTGCAGGATGAGGAGCTGGCTTCAGATCCCAGTCTTTATTCCTTTATTCCATAAGCTGTGACCTTGGGCGAGTCATGCCCTCCGGAGCCTCAGTCTCCTCATCTGTGAAATGCGGATGACGCTGCCTCAGATACAAGGCTCCGTGTGGTGGGAGGCTGGAGTGAAATGGTTTTTGAACTGATAATTTGAGAGTATTTGAAGTCAATGAGGGGCGGGGGAGAGGAGTGTGTATGTGTGTAGGAACAAGTGGGTTCAATACTGATTAAAATACAAATTAGCACTCCGAGGGAAAAAAAAGCATATAAGCATTACCCCAAAATTTTACTGCACAGCTTAAGGAATTGAAGAGCTCAGGTTTCAACTCCCTGCCGGCTGGATCTTTCTGCCTAGGTCCTGTTATCAGGTGGAGTGGTGGGTAATGGGTGCCCAAGTACCAGTGACAGATGAGCAAAGGAAAATTCCCCAGGGTCTGTGGGTGGTGAGTGAATGGTAATAGTTGAGGCCAACACCTGATAGAATGTTCTGTTGCCCTGGGGGCAGGAGCTGGATGGAGGTGAAGATGGTTGTTGTACAGACCATGTACTCACCATCTGACACATCGAATACCCGAGGCCCAGGAGCTCAGCTTCTCTCCTCGGATAGCTGAGGAGTGTGGTATTATTATCCTAGACAAGACCAGGTGAGGTGGAACTGGGGAGAGGTCCCTGATGTAGTGGCCTCTACTGCAGCTAACTGAGAGAAGAAACGAGCTGTAGAGATGAGCAGGGTGGGGGGTGGGGATTCTTGGGGCATCTGTGGAGAGAGCAAGTTTCCAGCCCTGAATTGATGTCAGGTTGCTCTCCTAAAGTTCGACAGACCACTTACTTGTGTCTCATGAGTCAAACTGGGCAGGAGCACAGGTGTGTAGGAACATCAGAGGCAGGCACAGTTTGGCTTTTCTCCAAAGTCATGCTGCATGTTGTGGGTCAGGCACCTTGGCTCTTATTGCAAGGTTCATTCTAGTTTCACTCGAGTCAAAGACAGCTTCGTTGAGAATATTAACAGTATTTCTCACCACCAGTCTAGTTGTCCCCACCTCCTCAGTGAGTTTCTTTAAATTCTTGTATTTTACTTGTAAAAGACCTTCTTTGGCCCTCCTAGGCCCCAAATACATGGGTTGGGGGTTGTGTATCTGTGAGAATGAAGCGCTGGTGTGGTGTGTGTGTGTGTGTGTGTGTGTGTGTGTGTGTGTGTGTGTGTGTTTGTGTAACCCAAGGTCATCTGGTGTCTCATGCACAAAGCTGAGAGCAGAACCAGGTTTCCGGCTCTCTTCAGAACACCAGTAGCTTCTTTTTCTGGAGGAGGATTTTTAAAAAGCCGGATCTCACAGTGCAGAAAATGGTTCCCAGGTGAGGAGGCCTTGGGGTGTGGTTGGCAGCCCGGGGCTCTGTTTGGGCATCTCAGGCTCCCCACCTGCTCAGCCCTAAGGCTGTCTCCAGCTTGGGAAGGAGGAGGAGAAAGTCTACTTTCATACCTGGAAGAATAATGATGGGCTGGTGAGAGTTGGAAGTAAGAACCGTTGTCCTGATGCTTAATTTCTCTTGATCGTCTCATTCATTCATTTTCTCCCAAAAGAAGAAAATTGGGTTTATTTCCTTTAAAACAGCACTGAACGGAACTGTTTCTAAAGGCAGTTGGAATAGGTTCTGGGGTCCTGGACAGGGATTGGCTTAACCCGAGGAGGCCAACCCAGACTTGGCTCATCCTGACTTCCTCTCCTCTCCCGCTGGCCCCCTTTACTGCCTCTCTGTCCTTGGTGGTTTCATTTCTGAAGTGTGTCCCTGACAGGCTTCAGGCTCAGCTGAGAGCCTCCCCTTTGTTACTGTTCCCAACCCATGTCGATACATCATTCTCCATCTATTAGATTAGGCCAGAGGCATCTTCAAGGCTCTCATGCTTCTCCAGCTAGCTTCCTGAGTCATAGGCTGAGGATGAGACTTTTCGTTAGCTTTAAGTGGGGCAGAGCACCTCCCTGCTTTGGACTTAGGAGTGTGGGCAAGTAGGGTAAGGGGAAGCTGCCCTCTCTTCCCATGTCTTTCTAGCACCCTTGAGCCTAAGAAGAGGATCACTGCTGGTTGCTACAATGCCCGTCAAGAGGAATCTGCCCTCATTAGTTCTGGATGCATCTCTGATGATGATGCTGTCTTGCCTTGTTCCCAAGGACGCTGGGGCTTTAGAGAGGCAGGCACTCAGGGACAGTGGGTATTTCTACCCATGACTTACTGGCCATGGGTTTGCAACTAGGTTGGGGAGGACATGTGACCCTGTCTCCTCACCTACACAAGGAAGAAAATAATAGTGCTCCCAGTAGACTCCTTTGGGTCAATGTTTTAAAAATTATTACCATATGCTACATATCTTTCTAGGCATTTAAGATGCATTATTTTAATCTTTCCTCATAACATCCCATAAAATTAATATCCTGTATAACATCCCCATTTTCATATAAGAAAACTGAGGTCTAGGCAGAGTAATTCATTCAAGGTCATTTAGCCAGGAAGTGAGGGAGTTAGGGATTAAATCTGGGAGAACGGATTCAAGCATACTTGCTTTTAATTACGCTGCTTGCGATGCAGCGGTACCTGGCATGGAGTGGGTCTCAATACCTGTTAGCTCTGGTCTGCCTCCTTGACAAGTGAGAGTTGTCTCTGAGCATGGCCATAAAGAAGACCTCTGTGCATTTGGGCAAAGAAAATCCTGATTTTCAAAATTTTAGCCGTCATCATGTTAACAGATTAATTTTATTGCATTGTAGTTTACGAAGGTAAAACTACTGGGCCAGCTTTTTTTGAAGTACCTAAAAGGTGGGTATTTCAGGGGGCTTGCAAGCCAAATGAAAGTGAAAAGCATTCCGGCTTATCGTTTCCCTCCTCTTTCTAATGAGTTTATTTGTAGCACATCCACAGGCTGGTCCCTTAGGGTATAGTTGGGGATCTGAGGTATATCCCCCTTTGTAGTAGATACCAAAAGAAGTTGTTACGTCAGGGTCTGGACCTGAGGCTAGTGTTCTTGAGCCTGACCAAATAATTTGGTGTCTAGTTCTCCCCCGCCCGCCCAGGAGAAGGGCGGAGAAGCTGGAGGAGCCAGCTCTGATTTGCCCATAGGATGGATGCTTCGATCCAGCTCAGGGAGGAAGTTACCATGGCAACACCAGCCGGCTACCAGTCCCTCTCCTAGCAGTTAAGGCCACATCTCTGGGCTGGAAAGCCCTCCATGGCACCTCCCTCTTCCGCTCAGACCAAATCTTTTCGAGGGGAGCGTGTGGTGGGTGGGACCCACAAACTATTACCACAGCCCTCATCCCCACCCCCGGTTTTGAACAGAGGGGAAATGGAGGTGGTTGTCTGAGTTACTTGGAGGCTGTGAAGCTACCCATTTCCTGCCAGACAGATCTTGGCAGTGGAATTCAGGGTTCCAGTTCCTGCCAGCACCCCCAGGCACCTGGAATGACCACACTGAAATCTCACCCTCCCTCCCAAATGTACAGGATTTGGCGGAGTTTTCGTTCCCAGGCCAAGAGCTAACTTTTGTCCTTGAAATTTGACCCAAGCTTCATCTGGGAAACAAAATGTCCTGCTGCCCCTGCTCCTTCCCCTAGAAATGGTGGGAACAGAGTGAGTCTTTCAGCTCCAGAAGGGGGGCTGGGCTGTGTGCATGATTCAGGGAGCTCTAGTATATCGTATCTTCAGGAGGGGGGGTGCCTTAAAGCATGCATCTAGGCTCTGGAACCTCCTCTCTCCCTCACCCCACCGGATGCCACATTCTGGGTCCCTTTCCTTTTCTGCCCTCTGTTACCCACACCCCAGTTTACCACCTGGAACTGTAATCTCCTTGTTTGTTTTTGAGGAAGGGTCTAACCATTCACTGTGTAGCCCAGGCTTTCCTCAAACATGTGGTCCTCCTGCCTCAGCTTCCTGAGCGCTTGGGTTACGGGTCTGCATCACCACACCCGGCTTT